AAATAGAAGAAAATACATAACATTACACATGTAACAACACAAAAGCCATATTAAACGCAGACTACTTTAGGCCCAGAAGTAGGATTCGTCACGTCATCACTTAACGACGGGATTGTCTTGGTGTGAGCTTCTACTCAGGGCTTTTTCTTCCAGTTCAGAGCAGAAATGTTTTTTTAAGAAACTGGCTGTTGTTTTTCCCCCCACAGTTTTAATTATAAGCTAGATATATTTCTACTAATGAAATTAGTTTGCTAAGTCAACAGGGATGAGCCAGTGAGTCAGTTGGGCTTGTGAATCATGATTCAGTGATTCTCGAGTACTGAACAATTCGTTCATGATTCGCGCATCACTAATGGATAGCGTGCTGGAAGAGAGAGGTTGGTGAAAGATTATCCATGCAGTGCTGCAAGGCAAGTATATCAAACTCAGCTTAGTAGAATCAACTTGGCATTGCTTGACCACTATGGCTTGTAGTTTACTGAGACGGTAAAAGGCATGGAATCCCTAGCTATGAAGGCAAAGGACGTCGTCTGTCAGTATAAGGTGCAGTTAGTATACAGCTAGACCAGCCGCTATCTTGCTGGCTAGCAGAGTTCCCATCACTAGTGCAGGTGTGTTGGAACAGGTCACCTATTAGCTCTTAAGTTGCATACTTACTTTCACATTAAGACAAATGCATCAGTGGCAGCTGTCATCCTGGGCCCCAAACGGGTATTAGCGGTGTAGAAACTATCCGCGTAGCAGCTGCTACACGGTCACAGAAAGCTGGCAGCTAACAAATCAGCGAACAAGTCTGCTAGCCAGCAAGTTAGTATACAGCTAGACCAGCCGCTAACTGCACCTTGAACTGACAGACGTGCTTTTCCTTCATAGCTAGGGATTCCATGCCTTTTACCGTCTCAGTAAACTACGAGCTATAGTGGTCAAGCAATGCCAAGTTGATTCTACTGAGCTGAGTTTGATATACTTGCCTTGCAGCACTGCGTGGATGATCTTTCAATCTCTCTCTTCCACTGCGCTTTCCACAGCCATACCCGCGACCTTGTGGTTGTCAGTTCTAATTCATTGGCCGATGTTTATGGTCATGTCGTTATGTGTCCGAACATCCAATGGCATGTCACATGTTTTCATGACCGCGCCCTCACCCCAGGTGCAATGTATTTTCACAATCTAACTATGCATATGTACAGAGAAATATATTTGGGTAACAAAGAGATTATGTTTTATTACATTTACAGTGATTTTATGCTATTTTACATTTGACATGTGTCAGATCACAGTCGTTTATGTAAATTTGATGATATTTAGAAAAACAGTACACAACTGTAAAATACACAGTAAATAATTTGACATTACTATTTTTTGGAACAGTGCAGTTCAGTCGCAATTTCTATGACCAATTTATATTTGTACAGATTCTGACATAATTACTCAAATGTCCTGCTCATAGAGCAGTTTTGAGGTAAACTAAATCAGCCTGAGTACTACTTTCTCTAGAGCTGTGAATATCTAAACTTGCTTACCTGCACATGCATTTTTAATTTCTCATTTGATATTTGGGCATATTGGAGGCCCGATGATGTAAAAACAAAAAATTACCGTATATTATATAAATATATTATATTATATAGTATATATATATATATATATCTCATTTATAATAATATGTGTAATAAACTGTTTTTTTTTTTTTTACCTTATTTTTGTTTTTAAGAAAAATAAGAGCCACATATGAGGATATTGTTTAAAATTTTGATAGAACAGTAGCAGTATAATGTCCTCGTAAGTGGATATCAGGCCCTGTAGAGCAAAATTGAGTATTTTGGTCTAAATAACCCAAAATGTGATGTCCACATATGTGGACGCCAGGTCCTAGGAGGTTAAGGCTGACACTTTCTAGCACTTTCTCAATTAATCTATATAAAAATTGAATAAAAAATAGGAGTTAAGCTAAAAGAGTTCAACAAAAACCTAATGTTTCCTGGAGTGTATTGTCAGCATATTTTCAAAGGAGATTATATGCTAGAAAATACAAAAAATAAATGAATAACAACTTGGTGAGAAAAAAACAATTCATTGGTTCTGTGAGTATGAGTTCAGTCTTCAGTTACTTTGACCAACTTGTCTATGCTGTAATATTAGCATTAATTCTATGAAGTCTTAGAATAGTTAGCTATATTTTAAAACCAACATTGTATTTAATATCAGAAAAATACTTTTAGACAGGCCTGTTTTTTGGGCCTGTCATTTTTAAGTGGGAACCTCAGGAAGGTATTTATGAGTTTTGATTGACATCAGAAAGCAGAGACGGCACAAAAGCTACAGGTGTTACCATATTATATGACCCTTGGCTATAACAGAAATGTATTAAGCTCTTAATATTTTTGTGTTGCTTTTTTTCAGAATGGCTTTGATGAAATTTCTTAATAACCGCCCTGACACACCATATTTCCAGCCACCCCCACTGCACTTCAGAATGTTAAAATCCTGCGACCAGCTGAGGGTCACTAGCTGGGACTTTAAAGATGGGACAGCTAAACCCCTAATAACAAAAGGAACACAGTGGCAGCCATCACCGATGGGCAGACTGTGAACAAGGTCACGATGTTCGAGGAGTTTGCCTCTAAAGTCCAGCAGGGGGGGTCTTACATATGCTACATAATGAGGGGGTATGAACTCAGGGGCACGGCCCCACCATACAATATAAATATAACTGCACGAACCCAATTTTTTAAGGCTGCAAACCTAACTGTTAGTGAGGATCGTTTCACCGAAGCAGAGCATCTTCTACATCCTCCTGCTCCACTGACACCTCTGAAGATGGGCTCCACAAGTGGCGGGCTCATCACAGTCCAAGGGGAGGTGGTGGAGGTAAGTATTTGTGGTTCCATCAGAATTTACATGGCTTTAGGTTTCCAAATAACCCATTATTGCGTGTATTTTTTTACAGTCAAAACTCATTTTTGCTGTCAAGCAGAGACTAAATTCTGTTAAGATTGTTAAGCACAATTTTTTAAAAATATTTTCCAAAGACCGTTTCTGGTATTTATGCAGCCAATTTGCATTGTGTCTACATACATTTGTATTGTAAGGGCTAGATTCTAATGAACAGTTTCTACTTGATAATAAAAAACAAACAGAATAATTATTTTATATACCTGTGTATATAAATTTATACAAAGGTCTTCATCTTAATATATAGTCAAAGGAGCTTGCAAAGAAAAGCGTCTGGACTTCTTTAAAGAAGAAGTCCAGACGCTTTTCTTTGCAAGCTCCTTTGACTACGATGACCTGGATGACTGAGAACCTTCACAGACATCTTAATATATACTTTATAATAAAAATAAAAGCAGATACAATGGAAACTGGCAAAATTACCCTGAATTGGGCATAATGGACACCAACTAGAATTTGTAAACTGGCAAACTTTTCATTTATGTTGCTGTCACTTAAGAATCCAACTAAGTTACAAATGTATTGTTTGTAGAAAGATTTCCTTCAAGCTGTTTCATAATCATGAAAAACATCCTAATAAACTGCTTCTGATAAGTTCAATGAAGAATACTTAATAACAGCAATAATATAATCTAAAAATCTTACTGAAGAAATAAAAACCTACCACATATCAATACACTAACTATTATTGATATTTTATTTAAATTTACTTTTCAGTTTTCTGCAATAAAGGACGTAGTGTCAGGAAAACAGCACGTTCCCTTGCTAAATCTCCAGCTAAAGGAGGTAATGATGCAATTTTAGTTTTATATTGAAATTGGTTAAACTAATGTGACAAATTTAACATTGCTGGTACATGAGCAGAGTGTATGAGGCTGTGGGCTTTCTTTTTCTAGTTACTCGATTTTGGATTATTTAATTAATAAATCTATAATTCTGTCATATTTGTGATTTCAGGATGGTTATACCATATCAGTCTGCCTCTGGAGGGAGGCAGGAATTCACACCTTTAATGTGGGAGACCAGATTAACCTCTCCCACATGAAGCTGAACCGCACCGCATATGGGCCACAGCTGCACAGCACTACTTATACGAAGGTTCAGGTATGAAGAAGCTAAACCTTTGTACCAATATTTCACAGCATTGTCTTATCAAAAAATGTTTAGAACTAGGTTTTGAAATGTAACTACATATTCTTTCAGTCTGGGTCAAAATATGAAATAATAATAATTATATATATATATCATATTATCTTATATACACACACACACATATATATAGAAGTCCAGATGAACATATTCCAAAGACGTCTTTGGGATTTAATTACCTGCATGATTGATCATGCATCATATAATGCATAATGTAACACATACACACACACAAACGCACATATATATAGATGTCCAGATGAACATAATCAAAAAATGTCTTTGGGATTTAATACCCATGAGGATCATGCATCATATAATGCATAATGTAACACATACATATACACACATTATGTGTACAAATACAAACAATGTATGCGTCTTGGTGACTTACTGAAACCACATGATGACCATAGATTTTCTTTTTGGATAAAAAAAAGAATGTTTGCAGGGCTAAATATGTCCTTATGCTTTGTCAACAGACAAAAGTAGAGGACAGAGAGGAGGTCCTCATCGTTGGTGTGGCCATGAGTGACGAGCCGAACCAGCTTGAGGTTCTTCTGGATGATGGGCAGAGCCTCTTCATCAACAGTGAGCTCTGGACACCATTTGACAATGAACTTGAGGAGGCAGCGGTCAGGGTAAAAGTTCAAATTAAGGGGAAGCAAATTATGCAGATTAAAAAAAAACACTGAATAATTTAAAAAATGTATTCATTTGTTCCTTTGTTTGTTACTTGTTTGTTTGTTCAAAAATATAAAATGTTATATTTTATAAATTAAAAACAATGAAGTTAATATTTTCTGTGTATTTATAATCTTTAATTAAGCACACATTGTTAAATGCTTAAGTGACAGCAACATAAATGAAAAGTTTGCAAGTTTACAAATTCTAGTTGGTGTCCATTATGCCCAATTCAGGGTAATTTTGCCATTTTCCATTGTGTATGCTTTTATTTTTATTATAAAGTATATATTAAGATGAAGACCTTTGTGTAAATTTATATACACAGGTATATAAAATAATTATTCTGTTTGTTTTTTATTATAAAGTAGAGACTGTTCATTAGAATCTAGCCCTTACAATACAAATGTATGTAGACACAATGCAAATTGCATGGAACATGCCGGGCGCGTTAATGGGAGGCAAAGTAAGTGGGGGAAACGCAAAATGAGGAACGTGAGAGGGCGGGGGAGACAGAAGCAAGAGAAAGAATAAAGAAAAAGCCTGAAGGCCACAAGGAAAGTGGGGGGAGCCAGGAGCACAAAAAAAAAAGAAAACACACCACACACCAGATACCCAAACAGAACAGACACCAAACCAAAACACGAGTGACATTAGACTGCATGGACCATGAAGGACAGACCCAAATGGAAGAAACAGACAAACAATGGAAGCATCCCGTGTGGAATGGGGAAGACCATCCCCGGGGGGCCAGGGGGACCCAAGGTAAGGCGAAATGCCCAAACATAGAGGCGAGTATGACCTGTCTAAAAAATTAATATGTTTATGGACTAGTAAGATTTGAGTAAACAGAAAGAGAGAACAAAAAAGAATAATTTATGTAAGTCCGTGTAATAACTGGTAGTAAATGAATTGGTCCAGAACTATGGTGTAAAAGTCGATGTTTGCTGGTTCCCGGCCAGCTGTCCTTGTTCTGTTTGATGATGAGTGTGTAGAGGTGATGGATAGTTTCTTTTTTTATTGATAAAAGCTAGGAAACGTCAGGGCTAGAAATACCAGACAATAAATTCCGCGCGCCGCGTTGGTCCCCTAGGACCAAATTAGTAGAAGGGTTAGGGAGGTTAGCAGGTGATACCCAAATTTCCCCTTGTAGGACAATTAAAGGATTATTATATTATCTATTCTATTCTCATTGATATCATGTCTACCCAGAAATCTCAAGTTCATCATTTTGCGCTTCCACAATTATTTGAATAAAAAATTAAAAGAGCAGGAATGTTAAAATGAATATTTATTAGATTTTCAAAACAGTTAATTATGGTACAGGGCTAGATTCTAATGAACAGTCTCTACTTTATAATAAAAAACAAACAGAATAATTATTTTATATACCTGTGTATATAAATTTACACAAAGGTCTTCATCTTAATATATACTTTATAATAAAAATAAAAGCATACACAATGGAAAATGGCAAAATTACCCTGAATTGGGCATAATGGACACCAACTAGAATTTGTAAACTGGCAATAGCGACAA